TACTATTTAAGACTATCTTTCCTATATAGAATTCATTATACATACTAGAATTGCCATAGCAGCAGAGTGCCCTAAAGCTAAAAGTTGTCATGATCAATTTATTCAGCTAGATCCAATTTGACACTTCTAGGAATTATCATTTTTTTGAAAGATTGTATATCATCTAATAAAGATGTGATATTTAAAGTTCAACAATTTCTAATTTCTATAAGTATTGAAACATAAACCTATTGTTTAAAAGAGTTTTTATGGATCCTAATCCTAACAAGTATCTAAAATATTCTCATGACATTTCTCAGCTAAGTGTTCATCAACAAGCATTATCCAAAATTCATAAAAAAAAACTTCATTAATCTAGTAGCATGATGCATGCAACGTTATATATACAATATCCTAAATGCTCTAAATAATATGAACAACAGTGTATGCATCAAACAAGCAAATATAATATGAAAAATGTAAATATGAACATCATAAATGAATGAACACAATATAAACAACACAAATGACAACACACCCCAAACCTAAATGTGCATTATCCTCAATTCATGCAACAAGAACCAATAAAAATGTGAATAAAAGTAAATGAGAGAAGGTAAACAATACTCCCTTAGCGAGTCTTTCTTGGGCTAGAAAAAAATGGGTGGATCTTCTAAGCTGATATTTTCTCTTTCAACTACATTTTTTCTTCTTGCTGGTAAATGATGGTACAACAATGAATTTCTGTAATTCTAGTTGATGTTGTGAAGTAAAGATAGTATGTGTTGGTTGATGGTGCGATGATCAATATGGAAACATGGCCTGAAAATAAAAGAAAATAAAACTAATAAAATAACAAAATATAAAAAAATAAAATAAAATAAAAATATAAACAAGTCGGGTTTGAGTTCATAGAACTAAATTGAAGCAATATTTTTTTGGTATATTGCAACCATAATGTTTCATCCTATGCCCATTAAACAAGCTCAAATATTCATCCAAGTGCTCTTGCTTTGTTCCATCAATAATGCCAGTAACATAACATTCAACATTGTCATCGCATTGCAAAATATTGAATGTAATTTTCTGGTCATTTAAACGCATTGTGAGTTCTCCCTTGTTGACATCAACTAGTGTTCGTGTCTAGCCAATATTATTGGCACATCCTTCTCGACTACATAATCCAAAACAATGAAGTTTGTTGGAAAGATGAATTTGTCCACTTATACTAGCACGTTGCCTATTTTACCTTCAGGGTGGCCAATGGATTGGTCAACAAATTGTAATGTAACAGTTGTGGGTATTGCTTCAATCCCAAATTTCTTGAAAATAGAGAAAGACATTAGGTTAATTTTGGAACCTAAATCACACAATGCTCTAGCAATGTATTGATTTACAATAATGCAAAGAATAGTAAATCTCCCTAGATCCCTTAACTTTGGTGGCAATCTTCTCGTGACCATGGCTCTACACCCTTTAGTGACTTTAGTGGTTTCAAACTCACCAATTCTACGTTTCTTGGAAACCACTTCTTTCATGAATTTGACATAATTCGACATTTGTTCAATGGGGTCAATCAAAAAGAAGTTGATCCTTAATTGCCTCAGTACATCAAGAGACTTCTTGGATTGGTAGTCCTCCTTGGTGTTTTGAAATCGTTGAGGGAATGGAGGTGGTGGCCTTTCTTTAGGCTACAGTGGAAACTTTGGTGGCATCTCGGGGGGGGGGGGGAATGTTATTGGCATTGATAGTGGCAATGACTTAGAATTACTACACTAGCCAACATCTTTTATCGCGACATCAAATGTTGGTGACTCCATCACATTTTTCGGTTATTTGCCTTTAGGTTATGGTTTAGGCTTTTCATCCATTTTCTTTTTATGCTCATCATTTTCTCAAGTTTGAGTCCACTTCTTGTCGTGACAACTTTCAATGTTAGTTACAAGTAATTTCACTTTTACTTGGTAATACTCGTTGTTCGTTGTTAAAAGTATTCACCAATTGCCCACTTGATTTTCCAATGCTCTTAGTGATATTGACTTGCTTTGGATCAAAGCCTTATTCTTTTGATTGTTATGGTTGCGCTGTTTGATAATGCGTCTGTTGATATGGCAGCATCGATTGTTACTATGCATACTATTGTCGCGACTGATGTTGTGGTTATGTATTCTCAAAATATGGATTCAATGCTTCACTAGGGTTGGCTACATTCTAATTTCCCCATGATAGATCAAAATGATTCTCGAAGTTTGGATTATAGGTGTTCTCATAAGTGTAGGCATTGTCATTCCAATTGTAATTCTCATAAAATATATGGAATCAGGATTTTGAGAACATTGCTTAAAATTATGATTTTCATTACAATAAATAGAACTAATAATGGATGTTGATTTAACTTCGTACTTACCTTAAGGTCGTTGCATCTTCATCACCATCTCAGATAATGTTGTAACCTGTGAGGCCATATTTTTTATAGTTTTATCGTCCACTACTGTAGCATATCGTCTACCCGACATAATCCTTGTGTTATAATTTTGGTATTCATTGTTGCAGATCCTTTCAAGGATGTCATAGGCTTCGTTGTAAGACTAGTTAAGCAATGCTCCATTGAAAAGGCATCTACAACCATCCTTGTTTGCATGTTAATACTATTATATAATATTTCTATTTGTGTCCAATGTTGGAAACCATGCATAGGGTATTTGTGCAAAAGAAAAATTAAATCACTCCAAAGCTTCATACAAATTTTCATTCTTTAATTGCTTGAAAGATGCCATATTATTCCTCATTCTCGCATTAATGTTGGGAGGATTAAATCATAGCAAAACATTTTGGGCAAGCTCATTCCATGATGTTATAGCTACCTCCAGGCAACAACGAGTTAAGCCACACATTGGTTTTGTTACGAAGAGAGTATGAAAATAATTTCAACTTCAAAGTTTCCCAAGAACTCCTTGTTGAACAAATGAATCACATACTTCCATGAATGCTCGTAATTGTACTCTAGGATCCTTGGTGAATGAACCAATATACGGCCTCATGCACTGCAATATTTGGAATATTACAGGCTTTAACTCGAAGTGGGTAGCATGAATGGCAGGTCAAACGATGCCAGGATTTAGATTGTCTAAGGTCGGTACAACATGCTCTCTGATTGGCCTATTTCGATTATCGTATCGATAATCACCAACGAGAAATTAAACAAGATCGTATCGATAACGTGTTATAAAATAAAATGAACGAAGCAAGAAAAAGAACATGAAAATAATATGAAAATAAGAAGAGAAATCTATATGATAATTATTTTTTAAATATAAATTGTATTCAATATTTTACTTAAACGTTATATTTAAAAACATAAAGAACGGATATCATATAAAACTCAAATTCCAATAGATATTAAGAGTATATTTTTAAAAAGTGCTATAGTGACCCTTTAGTTTTAAGTTGAAAAATTAATTAAATTTTATTTTAATTGATATTATTATTTTTGTAATATATAAAAAGGTAACTTTCTTTATAATTATTTTTTTCTCTTAATTTATGAGTTAAAAAAATAAGATGATTTAAGTGTTGTAATTACCTTTCAACGTATTGTTGGTGCCGGCAAAGATGGAGTTTTAGTTTTTTTTTTAGTTAGATTATCCCAATTGCAAATATAGAAAACTAAAGCTAAGAGAAACCTGGATATTTATGAATGTGGTGCACTAAAAGAAAGATAGAAACAAACTCGGTGAAAATAATAATTTAGATAAGGGTGAATTACAAATTTGATAACTGAACTTTCATATGATTCATATTTTACTCATCGTACTTTCAAAATTTTCATTTTGCTCACTCAACTTTATAAATTGAGATTTTTTGTCAATATGCCGTTAAACTTCTCACATCGTTATGACATGGCCTAGAAAAATAGTTTTTAATCATTAAAAGCCATGGATGCTATGACGTGGCTTAGGGTAAATTACAAATTTGATAAATAAACTTTCAAATGATTCATATTTTACTCACTGTACTTTTAAAAATTTCAATTTTGATCACTCTGTCGTTAAACTTCTCATCATCAACGATCGTCCACCGCTGCCCTCATCGCTGAATCCATCTTCGGCCAGCGGTGGCTCACACCTCCACCTCCAACAACACCAGGTCGCCTCCCGATCAAAGCCCTTCCCATCACCGTTGATGAAATCATGTCGTTCATCGTAAAATCATAGGAAATCATTTGATGGCTCGTCGTTGATCTTAGCCTTCATCGAACGGTGACCGTCACCACCAATACTAGTGTGTGTGTCAGGCCACTGCGATCAAAACCCTGGTGGTTGATCGTCAAGGCTCTGTGCCATTCGTCAGAGAAAAACCGTCGATGGTTTGTCAGGAAACCAAAGCTTCCCATCGGTTTTCATTGATTTTCGGGCACCCCAGCCGCCCGTTCGTCTCACCTCAACCACCTCTGACGTCCTCTCCTATTTTCGACCAAAACCCAATCGTTTTCATGTCACTTCCTCTGTCGACAATTTTTTTGTCTAACCCGGGTATAGCGACAAAAAAACTCAATCTATAAAGTTGTGTGAGCAAATTGAAAATTTTGAGAGTACGGTGAGTAAAATATGAATTAAATGAAAGTTCAGTTATCAAATTTGTAATTTAACCTTACTTTTTTTGTAGGACATAAAATGACGTCGTTGTTGTAGAGATTGCCATGTCATAACACCGTTAGCTATTTAACAGTTGAATGACCAAAACAAGAGCAATTTAAAAGTTGAGTGAGAAAATTAAAATTTTTAAAAGTACGGTGAGTAAAATAAGAATCGCATGAAAGTTCAGTTATCGAATTTGTAATTTACCCTTTAGATAATCTTTTTTTCCACATACAATAAAGTGGAGAATGTCATGTGTTCCGCCACGTGCAAAGTTGCACTTCACGACCAATAAACACGTGGCATCGAAGCAGCAAGCTGGAAATTGTTAAATATAAGCTCTCTATAAAAATAACCCATGGAATAATCTAAAAAAAGCAGAAGTGAAAATGGAGAAGAAGCAAGAAGACGTGGATAAGAAGGCAGAGAAGAAAGAAAGCTTGGAGGGGCTGCCAATAGAGGATAGCCCTTACTTGAAGTACAAGGACTTGGACGATTACAAGCGTCAAGGATATGGAACCCAGGGCCACCAACAACCGGAGCCTGGCCACGGTGCTGCTGGCTCTACCGACGCCCCCACTCTTTCCGGTGCTGATTCCTCCTCTGAGCGCCCGTCACATGCTTCGGATACCATTAAGCGTCAAGGGGTCCCTTGAATTTACAACGAGGATTTGGCATAGGAAATAGCTTCTACTTTAACTAATTTTGTTTGTTTAGGGTTCAATCAAATAATATTTACCTGTTGATTTGATATCTCCTCACTCAAATAAAATTTGAGTTATATTTTATCTTATATATTGAATATATTTTATCTCTTTTGTGGACCCTTGTTTTCTCTTCCTTTTGCCGGGTTCTACCTCTTTCGATGCTGCGTTTTCTCGGGAATTTTCTCATCTATGGTCTCTAGAACAATATGTTTCTGCGTTTGGTGTGTTTTCACGTTTTCTATTTCTCTTTCCTCTTTAAGTAAGTTTAAGTTTTCTGCGTTTGGTGTGTTTTAAGGCAAGCATCGGTTTGCCTTCTTTTGTTTTTGAACAGCATGTACTTTTATTTTATTGTCTAATAAAATTCCCCCACGGCAGATTATATCAAAAAAAATGTTGAAGATAATTTATCTTGTCATAAACTATAGCGTAAAAATATTCTTATACTGTTAATTATTTTTAAATTAATATATATATATATATTAATTAAAAAAAATATATATATATGTTAAGACTAATATAGATGTGTTAAATTACATCACACTAGTGATTTTTATTGGTTTAATTTAACGAAATGCGCAAATTTTCAAAATATACAAGGACTGAATATCACATTTGACTTATCGAGGGTTTGGTTTTAAACGAGACTCGAGTACGTGAGCTTAGGGCTCAATACGTGAGCTTAGTGACATACGCAGACTTTTTAGTATAATTGTATTTGGAAGTTATTTTTAGTTTAAATTTTAGTTAAACAAAGCTTTTATCCCTTATTTTTAAATTTAAATATTTAATAGATACATGAATGAAGTTGTAACATTCCTAGTGGCGAATTTAGAAAATTTTGTAGGCCGAATTAATATAAACATAATAATTTTTTTATCTAAAATAATATATATATATATATATATATATATATATATATTGATTGAATCTATAAAAAGTATATTAATTGGACTAATATAATTTTCTTAACATAATTCATACATGTTTTTTATTTAGGGTAAACTAATTATTTGATCACCATATATATTACTTAATTTATGTTCTGGTCACTGTTTTTTTTTCAAAATCATAGTCAATTTTACGACTTAGTTCTATTTTGATCATCTACGGTTAAAAACATTAAGAATGAAATTAATATGATATTTTTTTAATTATTTTTCAATCATGATGAACATAGTGTTCAAAATAAAATCAAGTATGATTTAAAATAAATAATAGTTGAGTTAGAAATTAAAAAATAAATGTTTGACTGAAAAATAATCTACCCTTTTCGGGCATGGGGGCATGTCCTAGGTAGTCCTAGGCTTAGATACACCCCTTCCTTTCTCAAATATAAGTCTTAACTAATTAAAACACTTTTTATTCGAAAATCGTTAAAATGTTGTTTCTTTTAAAATCTATAAAATAATATTTAATATCAAAACTAATTAATAGTGTAAGACTAAAATAAAATGATTTAGCATCAAATCAAATCCGATTTTATGCAGCAACTTGACAGTTCAATATTGTTTATTATAAAAATTGAAACTGCCTAAAAACTGTCTAATTTAAAAATTGTCTTTACTCTAATAAAATATAACTTCATTAAAACATATATTAGAATTCATAATTTTAACTATATATTTTGCTCACTAAAATCCTTTGATATAAATTTCCACGACTCTTTTAAACCTTTTAATCATATCATAGCTTTTCTGATTAATCTTAAAAATATGATTATATTAATAATTTACGACATTTCTTATTCCTATATATGCCAGCTAGAAAATCAAAATACAGTAGGATGTCATTACTGATACATGAAATTATTCTTTAATGATTGATGTCATACCCAGTTCCTTACTCCGCTTGTTCTCTTTTACCTAAGCGTGAAAATATTGCACGTTAAGTACACACTTAGTGATGCATTATAAATAAAATAAAACATTTCGATATAAAAATATTGCATAAATCATTTTATCGAAAAATGCCTTGTAATAATACAATAACACATAATTAGACTTAATAAAGTAGTTCTTTCATCAGTAATCTGTAAAAACAATAGTTGTCACATAATTAGAATTAAAATTCATTTAATTAGAAATTACCTATTTATCATTACTAAATCATGATAATTACCACCATGTCATTATCATGACATCATTCCTTATATCACCATAACAAATATCAACTAATATTTTATTAGTTTCTATCTTGGCCCTTGCACTTTACCAAAAATTTTAAACTAATCACTTTAATCAAACGGTCCCAATTTAACATGAAAAAATCAACTTAAATCCAATGATCTATGTTAAATTCTACCATTTAAAAATAAGAAAAATAATATTAACCCTATAATATCATCCTTCAAAATGTCCTAATTTTCTGATTCAATCCGATTATTCGAATATTTTACTGAATTCATCGCTTCATAGCTTTTTATACAAACTCCGGATCAAAAATTTGAATTTCATAGAAACTCCAATTTTAGTGATGAGATAAAATTTATTTTTGGGAAAATTATCACTTTGGCCCCTAAAATTTTCCCAAGTTTCTACTTTTGCCAATAAACTTTCAAATTTTACATTTTGATCACTTTCCAAAATTTTAGGGTATTACAGAAGTGACCTAGGTCATAAAGTAATTGTTGTTATTTCTTAAGGTCATGAGTTCGGGTACCAAAAATACCAGGAGTGTAAGCGTTCAATGACAAATAGTTGATAGTAATCTTTGAGATACTATCTTGTATTTACCTTAGATAAATAAAAAATATATTTAATAGATTATTGTTCGTTTGATATAAAACTATTTTATCTCCCTTGACATTTAATTCTGACTCCGTCTTTGGATATAAGAGTATTTTGTTGGCCTTAATGACATGGGCATACTAGATGTAGACCATAGTTGCATGAGCATAGAATATAATATGTATGACCTTAGTGGCGAATACTTTTTGAGTATACTAGATGTTGACCATAGTAGCATGAGCATAGAATATAATATGTATGACATTAGTGGCGAATACTTTTATACATACCCAATATATTATATTGAATTGTAATTATAGTGGCACAAGACTATTATAAAATGATGCGATTTTAGTGATGCGATTTCAGTGGCGATTAGAAAATAATATGAACACTTGATGCCATATATGTGATGTTATACTTATGCGACCTTAGTAATGATATTAATAATGCACACATACAATAAATACTATTACGGTGTTTTTTTGTTACACAAAAGGTTTAAGTCAAAGACGACTCCCCCGATCTATGACCAGGACATACTTAAGACCCAATTGAGATTTACATATGAATTTATAGATTGTCCACTAAGATTGACAGTAGTAGGATTGACTTGGCCTTACAAGCTCAAATTCTTGAACCCCAACCACTTGTGCCAACACTCATTGGCATATACTATTACGGTTTTAGTGACGCTATCAATGGATATTTTCAGATTATTATATATTTATAGTCGATATTAAATAAGATCGAGAGATGACATGATAAATATATATATATATATAGATATATATATATATATATATATATATATATATATAAAGATGAGATTGAGGGATGACATGATATATATATATTGTTGACTTTGACGATAATAGTTTATGATTGGGCTCTTAATTGCAAACTAAGAAAGTACGACACTTGTGTCGTGAAAATTTAAGAATTAAAATATTTAATTCATATTATTATTTCAAATTTATTAGTATAATTTTAAGAAAATATTTATATAAATAAGAGATTTATTTATTAGAAATATCAAAAAATGGCTTCTAAGTGCTTTAAGACAACTCTTTTCTAATATTAAGAAAAAATAAATATTAATAAAATTTATCTAAAATAAAAAATTATATAATTTAAAAAGTAAGATATTTATTATTTAAAAATATCAGAAAATGGACATCCAATTGCTTTAAGACTGCCCTTTCTTAATATTTGAAAAATAAATATATATTAAAATATAATAACTTTTCTTAAAGTCATTTATAAAATTAAATTTATAAATGGGATTAAAAAATAAATAAATAATTTATTATTATATATATATTTAAAAAAAATATAATAATAATAATTAATATATTGAAAATAAACACTAAAACTAAAATATAACTAACAGTGACTAACATAAATAAAATTAAAACTATATTTAAAATATAAAGTAATAAAACTTGTAATGAAAATATTAAAATCAATGACTAAATTATAATATATTAAAATTAAATATCTAATTAGTAATTAATTTAAAAATACAGTGGCTAAACATGTTATATTACCTATTTGTTATTGTAGTGACTAAAATAAATATATATCGAATTCAAATATTAAATTAAGACTAATTAAAACTTGATGTTCGTGATTAAAATATAACATATTAAAATTAAAAGCTCTAATTAAAATATATTGAAAACTAAGTATTTATAGTGTAATTTAACCATATATATTTATTCACGATTAAAATAAAAGTCTAAAATTATGAGGGCTAAATTTGCTATTTATCCTATAATACATGTATATACTGGTATTGACTAAAACCAATAAATTAAAATTCGGGAACAAATTAAAATTCTCGAAAACTTAATTTAGTGACTAAAATAGAAGTCTACAAAACTTGGGGGATAACGCGTATGGTTTTCTCATACGGGAAATTACACAGAGGCCCTCACCAAAACGACATTTTGGTGAGGGTATAAAAACCCTTTAATCAGCCTTAACCCCTTCATCCTTCTCATTTTTTCTTTTTCTTTCTCTCTAGAAACCGAGAGAGAAAGTTTTCTCTGGCTTTTCTCTAGCTTCCCTCACCGGAGGGAAGCCCAGCAACCGCCTACCACCATGCTCCGGTGGTGATCACCGCCGCCGGCCACCATACACGGTGGTCGGATTTTACATAAAGACCCTAAAATGATACCTTGACCCCCTCTAAGGCCGATTTCGGCCTTAGTTTGCCCTAAAAAAACTCCAGATCGGAG